CGATTATGCATATGAAATTATTATTATTATTATTTTTGAATCTTTTTAACTTTATATATACTAACTTTGATATTTAATATTTACAGTTCTCTTGGCTTCTGTACGTCGACGAGGAGAACAACCATGTATTGTCGGGGCATTTTTTTAGAGGTCCCACTTATGATGTGCCATGACGTCGTTATTGCACCAAGCTATTGTTGAGTGGCACAGACTGATAGAGTGATGCGCCAGTTTGCGGCGCGCCAACCAATTCACAGGCAAATGGAGGTTGATATGGACGCGCTTCATATAATCGATAAGCGTGGGAAACATAATAAAAATTGACCGATGTGGCACGCTTACTATATCGACCTATGGAATCAGCGTGAACTATCGCTCCCCCATCGTCGGAACATTACACTGCTAAACTTAGATTTCGACCATTCTCCTATTTCCGGTTTTACAAAAAAAATGGCAAACCATATCTCACGACACCAAAAGAGAGGGCAGAATGCAACATCATCAGGCCACATGTATCAAGTCCAAGAAGAAAGCATATTCGTCTTCTGCTTCCGCTTAGCATCTGCCGTTAAGAGTACTATTATGCATCCTAGGTCAGTTTCAGTTTCTATCATCCATTTTATACTTCAACTGAGACTCGCTGAATTGGGTTGGAGGTTCATGGGATGCACGCAATACACTCAAGATCTTTGACATAACATGTAGTTACGGGTGACTGGGACCATATACTATGATCAACAAAGTAACAGTTAAGTCGAAGCATTGCGACAATGATGGCGTTAAATGTCATAAATCCATCATCGTATGTGAAGGTAGATCGCAGAATGTGTTGGGTACACCTCATCGGCAAAACGACGATGACGATCAAGACCTACGACCCCGATATACTCGACGACCCCCGCGACATTATCATTCGACTACTCCGCGAAATCGTCAAGAAGTTAGAAGACATAGATAAATTCTCTTTCTAATTTTCATGTAAAAATTTATTTTTTACAATTAATTTACTTTGTATACTGTTGTTTTCCGTCTATCTGTTGAACAACGACTAGTTTTTTTTTTAAAATAAATTTTTTTAATGGACTCATCATCTTGACGTAACGAGTCATTATAATGCCATTAAAAATAATGGCCCACGTGAGGCCCACTACGCGTGGACAATTAAAAAATAATATATCCTTAAACTCGAAACCTCAAGGTGAATGTACAATCAATTTGTCACTTCACCATATATATGCATACAAGATTGAGCATCTAACAAAGTCTTTTACTTGGGGTTTCGCATTGCTGAGTATTTCTATGCAGTAGTAAAGTTAGTTATTACTATTTTCTAACAGTCTAGAAAATTCAATGCTTTGCATTGCATTGATATAAACTTAGTAAGATGAGTTGCATTGAATAAATATGTTCTCATATGTTGGTTAAAACCTATGTGTTGGAATTCTTATATTCGTATGAATTCTAAAATGGACAAAGGATGGATGATTGCCATTGCAGGTAACTGAATATGAAACAAAAATCTGGACTTTTCTCATTATATTTACAGTGCCATTTGATTTTAGAAACTCAATATTAGCAGGATATAATTAGTTTACTTCACATTCATCTAAAAAGGACAAAGGATGGATGATTGCCATTGCATTCTAACATCTTTCAGCATCTCAACTGCAGGTGAACTTTGTGGACAAAGTGACAAGCTGGCAGTCATTAGAGTCTGAATTAGCAAGACAAGTACAGGAAATTGTGGTCATTCTAACCTCTTTCAGCATCTCAACTGCAGGTGAACTTTGACCTTTCAATTCAAATGCATTCCTCAATGGTACCAAATTCATCCTGCAGCATTTGGCCCTTCAGTTCTGGTGAACAAACAGAAGGTTATCACTGATGGATGCAAGGGATATTGCCTACTTTCATTGGATGATTAACCAAACAAGGTGGGGCATACAAGTGCTTACAGAGACAGTTTTATCTATCTGCTTTAACAACATGGTCCAGTGTTGCAATAATATCGATTACTTTGAGTAATAAGAAGGCCTTCACTCAAGCAAATTGCCACTTGTACCTTGTCACTGTTAATATCCTATCAATTTCATGTCCTTCCTGTCACTTATCCATGGGGACAATCTCTTCCATACAGGATGGATCTAGGCGGAGGCAGTCGCCTCCACTAAAAATCTAAAATTACTATATTTTAGATTTTTTTATATATTTTAGTGAAAATCTGTTTTCGCCCCCTGACATGAATTCAGCGTCCGTCTCTACCCATCTACTTCTGAATGAATGCAAAACCATGTGATGGTAGGAGATAAACACTGTTACTTACCATGCATGGTTGATAGACTAAAAGATACCAAACAATGAAACGGCATTGAACTTTGGAGCCTTAAGAAAAATTAGATTAAGACTTGGAAAATAAATGAGCATGTGCCATTACTAGTTCATCTGCAGCTGCTGGTGCAAAGTCATTAAACTGTCACGTATAAAAGAAGAAAAAAACCTTAGAAAAAGTAAAGGAAAGGGAGTTAGATTTGTGAATCATTGCTAGTACTGATGAGGGAAGAAAGTTGGCCTGCTGAATTAGTTCAGGTCACATTGAGAATTTCTTGGAAGGGGCAACCTTTATGCATTCAAAGTGAGAAGCTGACAGTCATTATAGTCTGAATTAGCAAAACAAGTTCATGAAATTGGGGGTCATTCTAACCTCTTTCAGCATCTCAACTGCAGGTGAACTTTGACCTTTCAATTCAAATGCATTCCTCAATGGTACCAAATTCCAAATTCATCCTGCAGCATTTGGCCCTTCAATTCTGGCGAACAAACCAGAAGGTTATCACTGATGGATGCAAAAATTTTGGCAGATTAGTAAACAAATTCTAGTCATGAACACAATGACCAGTAAAATTTGTAATTGGCCTCAAGGGAAACTATTTGATCAATGATTCCACAACCTATTTATAAAGAAATCAACTATGAACACTCCAAGAACGAAAGCTTCCATCAAACATAGCCAAGCACAAGTAATCTATAATCACTACTAGTTACCATCAATCAAAGTTGTATAATTATTTTGAACCTACAATGAAAACCCACGAGCTAAATCAACAAACTATCTAAAATCACTAACAACAAGTGTAGAAATCATATTAACTGTTCATGATAGTTAAAAATGCCAAACCCAGATTTAGGAAAACCCATGAAATCGAACATCAAACTAAGCAAAAAACGCAAAGATGGTCAGAGAAAGAGATGGAAACAGAGCAGCAGAAAAGAAAATTGAGAAAAATAAATCGGGGGAAGTGAAGAAAAAAATTTGGACCGTTTCTCGATTTGTGCGTGTCATCCTTGCGCATGCTAATCTTCTCTGTATCGTTCCAATTTTATCGGATGTCCCCGAAGGGACACACTAACGTATCTGTTTAGTGCTTATAAACTATCGTTTTCTCTTTCCCTTGCTGGTGTGGGATATTTAGTTGGTTCCCAACTGAATCGTGAATATGCCTTATCTCGTTTATAAGGTCCTAACGTCTGGGCTGGCCCAGACTTGGTTGCTGCACAAAACAAAAGCTATGGGCTTGTGGATGTGGCTGCAGACTGAGACCCTTTTATTCAGACGTGATGTATTAACCTAAAATATATAGATTGGTTTGGATTGTTAGTTTAAGATTAAAATGGTGATAATTGGTCAAGTTGTTAATGATCAATTTATGACGATTTTCATCAATTGTATCCAGGGATCTACTCATTTTTGCATGATCATAAACTTGTTTATTGTTTTGATTTCACAAGTAACAAAGCTGAAAGATTTGAGGCCAAGCCACTATCTTTGTTTATGACACATTTGGGTCTTCAATTCTTGGATGATGAACTCAATTAGCTTCTTTAGGCTTCTTTGAAGCTCCAAATCTCCAGAACAATGCATTAACAGGAAACACCTTAGAATTGCCGAATCTTCCAAACATGAATATGACCATCTAAGTATACAGAAAAACTTAAAAAATATACAAAATACCCTTTCCAGAAACATATCTGCATCTAACACTCACCCGAGTGCAACTCACATATGTCTCGATTAACATCATCATTCAGGTCCTGCAAGAATGTCATGTTGTCAACTTGAGCTTAATCTTTGGGGCCTTCCATTCAACTTGAGCTGAAAATCTTGTTGTCAATTTGGTATGACTATATACAGAAATGACAGAAAGGCTTAGTTGGATTCCTAAACAAAGCGACAATACTCGGCACTCATAAAGGTTTGTATTTTACGCTGCAGCAAGCATAAACCAGCTAAATCCTTATGATTAATGGCAAAAAATATCTCTTCTTCATTTTCAAAACCATGATTTTCGGTCACTCAATTGACCAACCAAGATTAACTGTTTGATCAAATTGATTCCATAACCCAATCATGAGTAGATTCTTTATGGATATGATTTTAACTCTCAATTAAGATGAGCATCAAACTAAGCATACAAATGGAAAGAAATTAAAAGATTGATATTTTTAAGCCTCTCCATCGAATAATATTTGGTAATATTAAAAGTACATGGAGATGCAGGGGATTGAACCCTGTACCTCTCGCATGCAAAGCGAGCGCTCTACCATTTGAGCTACATCCCCCGCTCTTTGGTTTTGATTTGATTTATTTAATCACTAATCTGTCTGCTTCAATAAGAAAACGATTACTAATTTTGATTATTTATCAATTGTAGTCACTAATGCAGGAATTTATAATCTACAGTTGTCCAGTAAATGTTAAATATAGATGTGAGGTTACTGGATTCCTTTGAAATTGTGAGAGTGTTTTCATATATTAGTTTCATATGTATTTGTAGTTTGCAAAACTATTCATGAGATGGTAGATGTTACGAAGTTAATCATTATAGTTATCAAAAAGTTCTGCATTTCAAGAAGTTAGCATTCCAAAGGGAATTATCTATACAAGTTCCTTTCATCTCCTTCTGGGGTTGAAAGTTGCACAATGTTTTACATGGTAAATATGTTTAGAATCCACAGACGAGCCACTGTTTTTCAGCTTGTCCTTCTTGGAAAATTGTAATGTAGGACGAGCAGACATGGGCGGTGATTGAACTGTGCGCTGCTTTCTTCAAACCCTTAGTTAATCCTCTCTGAACCAACAAGATTGTGTTGCAAAGTGGTCTATTTGATTTCCCCCCCTTCTGTTTTGTGATGATCAATGCAAGCCGTTCATTATGTTAAAGACAAAAAAAATGTAGAAGTACCACAAAAAATACATGGAGATGCAGGGGATCAAACCCTGTACCTCTCACATGCAAAGCAAGCGCTCTACGTTTGAGCTACATCCCCTCACCTTTTTAGTTTGATTTATATCATTTATTCTCAATCAATTTGCTTCTTCAGTTGCACAAAAATAGCTTATGCTGGAATTTATTATCTAGAGTTGTCCGGTAAAGGTTAAATATAGATGTCAGGTTACTGGTCCTGTGAAATCCTGAGAGTGCTTTAATATTTACTTTCATATGTATTTGCAGTTTGAGATAGTTACGAAATTAGAAAATATCTATACAAGTTTCTTTCATCCCCTTCTGGGGTTGAAAATTGCATAATGTTTTACATGCTAGATATGTTCAAAATCCACAGACGAGTGACTGTTTTTCAGCATGTTTTTTCCATGGTCAATGATTGAACTGAGCACTGCTTTCTCCAGTCCTTAGCTAATCCTCGCTATACCAACAAGATTATGTAACAGACTATGACAGGTAATCTTATAGGCCCATCACTTGACAGTCCGAACTCTTCCCCAGACATCTTGAAAAGTTGCTGGAAAATACTGTTCTTGAGATACGGCAAGGGAATCACAAAACGCTCCTTATCCATTGTATAGACTACAAAATGGCCTTTATCACGACTGATTGTTTATTAGAAGGATCAGCATTAGCTGTCTTTCGATTAGTACTACTCAGTGAAGTAATTACAAGATGAAAAGGGGGGGATTGCTTCAAAAGCTGTATATTGGAAATTGTTTGCTCATTTCTTGCTGATAAAGACATGATGATGAGCAACGAGTGGTGCTTACTGACATGATCAATGCTTTCTCCACTTCTTTACTCGGTTTCCTTCTGATGAGAGCAATTACATGTTCCATAAAGTTAGCATCACAAGGCATGATGAGTAGGTCATTCCCTGAAAGTCCAAACTCTTCTTCCGCCAAGTTGAATAGCTCCATCACGATTCTGTTCTTTAGATATCCCAAAGGAAGCACAAAGCACTTCTGATCCATACTGTATACAACAAAGTGACCCATGTCGACTACTGATGATGTGCTGCAACTGGTTGTTTAGCGTCACTGGTGGTTCCTTGTAAAGTGATCCTTTCTCTCCTAATTGAAGCCATTTTTTGCCATTTTCTTGCAAACTTGATAAGCTTCTTGGCACTTTTCATCTTGTTTCGCTTAGTTTGGTAGTAAAGACACAGATGAGAGAAAAAAGAGGATTTTTAGGTCTTAAAAAAAGAGGATTTTTAGGTCTTAGAACCCTGATTGCTAAATGCATCTTTTTTACATTGCTAAGTGGTCTAGTTGTCTTTTATACAAAATAAACCATGAGTCACAAGATGAACAACGAAGACTATGTACTAGAACAAGGACAAATCGCAGAGCACCATTATAAGAATATGACTTGAAAGACCAAACTCTTCCTCAAACAACTTTTAAGATTTCAAAAAATATGTTACTGGTGAGATATGACAAGGGCACGACATGACGGTTCTGATCAGTGGTGCAGATGACAAAATGACCTTTTTCAGCCACCGAAGATTCACCAACTCACTAGCTTTAACTTTTTCATCGGATGTCCCCGGTAGAGAAATTATTTTTCTGCCATTTCCTTGCCATTCTGTCATGTTTCTTGCCCATGCTGATCATTTTGACTGTAACCTTTACCATAGAAATGGAAGTATGCCTTTGCTAAAAATAAAAAAAACCCTGAAATGGCATTGAAATTCCTATTGATGGATGAAGCAATCAAAATTTTACTTCTCCTATATGTATAAATGCAAGATTGAGGATCTAAAAATGTCCTGTACTTGAAGATGTTTACTGTTAAATTCTATGCATTGATATAAACTAAGGAGTGACAAGAGTTGCACCTTCACATTGAGAATTTCGTGAAAGGGGCATCCATTATGCATCAAAGTGACAAACTGACAATCATAAGAGCCTGAATTAGCAATACAAATACATGAAATTGTGGTCATTCTAACCTCTTTCCACAGCCCAACTGCAGATGAATTTTGACCTTTCAACTCAAATGCATTCCTCAATGGTACAGAATTCGAATTTATCGTGCACCATTTTGTCCTTCAATTCTGGTAAACAAACCAGAAAGTTATGACTAACGGATGGAAAATTATTGTGTTGATCAATGCAAGCCGTTCATTATATGTTAAAGACAAAAAAAAAAAACTAGAAGCACAACAAGAAGGTTCTTTGAGATGTTCTCTGCTTTGTATTTTTAAATTTTTGATGTTAAAAGTATATGGAGATGCAGGGGATCGAATCTTGTACCTCTCACATGCAAAGCGAGCGCTCTACAATTTGAGCTACATCCACTGTTGTCTTTTGTTTTTTATTTTATTTCTCCATTCCAAATCAATCATGCAAGTTATCAAAGAGGCTTACTACATTTCATTAAGTTAGCATTCCACAAAGAATTATCTATACAAGTTTGTTTCATCCCCTTCTGGGGTTGAAAATTGTATAATGTTTTACATGGTATATATGTTCAGAATCCACAGACGAACCAATGTTTTACAGCATGTCCTTCATGGAAAATACGACGAGCAACCATCAGCATGGCCTGTCAAACACTGATTTCTCCAAATCCTTAGCTAATACTCGTTGTATCATCAAGACTATGTAACTCACTATGACAGAACTGCACGGTAATGTTATAGGCTTATCACTTGACAGGCCGAATTCCTCCTCAGACTTCTTGAAAAGTTTCTGGAAAATACTGTTCTTGAGATATGCCAAGGGAATCAATACTACTCCTTATCCATTGTATAGACAACAAAACCTTTATCAACGACTGGTAGTTTATTAGAACTATCAGCATTAGCGGCCTTTTGATCAATACTACTCCTTGGTGAAGTAATTCTTTTCCTTCCAATGGCAGCTATCTTCTTCCACTTCCTTGCCATTTTGATGGGCTTCTTTGTGCTCACCATGCTTGATTTCTGACGAAGAAATAGATGAGGTAGAGCAAAATGTTCGAAATGGGAATTCTAATGGTGAGGAGGGGTTTGTGAAATTTATAGACACAGAAAACGAAAACCACTTTATTATTTCTAAGAAAAAGGGTATAATTATTTCTATGAGAATGGACGTTTGCAGGCACATATTCTTCCCTTGGTTGATAACAGACAAAGCTTGAGCTGAGAGCTCCTTTTAGTTTCTGTCTTGTAGTTTAAAGACATGTCAGGTAAGTATCGAAAGCTCATATTCCTCTCTAAAAACCACAAGAATAGATATAAATAAACGAAAGAAAATTCTAAACAATGCTAGATTGGTGTTTAGATCCAGATTCCATAACCCTCTTTTATTATTAATGTTAGTTGAAAACCAACTTAGTTTCATCTATGCCGATTTCTAGAAATGATGTATTTACTTGGAAGGAAGTGAAGAAAACAGCTAAAACAACAAACTTGGTCCTGGACAAGGTTAAGATCTTGTGGTTTACGTTTGGAGAGAGAGCCAATGCAAACCATTAAGTTCTTCTTAACTTCATATGAATGCTAAAAGACAAAGGTATAAGAGGAACTAATGATATTTAAAACAAGAAAGAGCCTTGATTTGTTGTCCCTGTCAAATCAAAATAGTGACAACGAGCAGCATTTTGTTTATCTATTATGAATTTAAAAGATAGAATATGAATATTGCCTTTGCACATCAATTGAACTGGAAGTTAAAACATTTCACCTGTATTACTTAGCCAAACAACTGGATAAATACAATCATGTAATCTTGATTAGTTGATAGCGCAAATCACTATAACATATGATCTGTCTAGAATCTTCAGCACCTTCTTCATATGTCATAACAACCGGTTTTCCATAGGTCTTCTAGTTAGGGTATAAGGCTATAAGCAACTAAGTATAAGTACAAAGTATTATCCGTGGTACTGCAAAGTTGTTGAAATGTCTCAAAGTAACAGGCATGAATGATAATAGACGTCTGTATTGGACATCCATGCTCTTGACATTCTCATTAGCTGAGATATCATATTAGTTTCTAAAGATCACAGTTGCTGATGCTCGAGAAAATATTGTGTAAGGTCACAGTTGCTGTTTCCAAGAAACGCCAAGGGGATCACAAAATGTCTCCGATCCGATGTGTAGATAGCCTTTATCAACCGCTGATGATTTATCAGAATGACTTGCAATAGCTGCTATCTTCTGCCACTTTGTTGCCACTCTGATAAGTTTCTAATTCTGATTTCTAAATGCAGCTGTTGTGCTTCACATGAGGCAGTTGAATTGGGATGAAATATATTATTTGATTTCAGGTATCCATAGGAAACAGAGCCATGTGATTGCAGATGTGCGGGCCAATCTGCAAGGGGGCTTGCCTGCTTTTACTGGATGATTAGCCCAACAAGATGGAGCATACAGGTGCCTGCAGACACATCTTTATCTATCTGCCAAGTGGTTTAACAGCAAAATGGTAATATTGACACTCATGATTAATGAGTTTGAATAGTAATAAGAAACGTTCAGCGAAGCAAATTACCACCAGTTTCTTGCCCCTCAGAAATCCTATCAGTTTCATGACCTTGCTGTCACTTATCCACGGGACGATCTGTTCAAAATAGTTCCTAACGAAGTCTGAGGGATGCAAAACCATGTGATAGCAGGAAAGAAATAGAGCATATGTGTAGATTGAATGTAAAGAGGGAATTGCACTTTTTGCTCAGACTCTATTTTTTTAATGAAATACTGGTGTCTCACACTTGGATATGAGACATGGTGCTTCCATCCATCAATACATCATTCCATGCATTGCATTGGATTGATATAAATAAACCAAAGTTGATGAGAACCGATTTACTTTTTTATCTGTTCTACTTTCTAGAGATGATCAATTCAATTGGACTGAGGTGAAGAAAACACCCAAAGATTGAATAGAAGCCATACACAAGAGCTTTTGATTTTATTTTTATTTTTTCTGTGGAGTGGTGATCAATGCAAGCCGTTCATTATGTTAAAGACAAAAAAGTACAAGGACCACAAAAAGGTTCATTGAAAAGTATAGTACTAAAACAATTTTAATTGCCTGATATCAATTGGAGATGCAGGGGATCGAACCCTGTACCTCTCGCATGCAAAACGAGCGCTCTACCATTTGAGCTACATCCCCCGTTGTCTTTTACATTGCATACTTAATTAATATCTTTTTTTAAATTATTTCATTTATGGACAAAATTAAAAAGGTCTACTGCATTTCATGAAGTTAGCATTCCTCAAAGAATTATATATACATCTGTTTAATAGTTATTATTTACAGGTTTCTTTCGTCCCCTTCTGGGGTTTAAAATTGCATAATGTTTTACATGGTAAATACGTTCATAATCCACAGACGAGCATCCATTGCCAGTGATTGAACTGAGCATTGCTTTCTCCAAATCCTAGCTAATCCACGCTATACCAACAAGAATAAGTAACGCCAAGAGAGTGTTGGTACAAGTGGTTGGAATTCAGGAATTTGACCTTGTAAGGCCAAGTTTGAATCCTACCACCACCTCTGACCTAAACTTTCTGTAACCAAAAAAACAAGAATAAGTAACTGACTGTGACAGAATGGCACGGTAAATGTTATAGTCCCATCCACTTCCTTGCCAATTTGATGAGCTTCTTTGTGC